GAAAGAATGTTTATTTTTTTATATAAACAAGACAAATACTAAACCATGACACTTTTTAAGAGGCAAAATATTTTAAGATTCTGGTCTGTTCTGCATGAAGTGCTACATATACATTGCTGGCTGCACAAGCAAAACTATTTCTTACATTCCAACAGAAATTCTTCCCAAATAAATGCCTCTGAAAAATGTCTAGGGCTCTGAGAGCTACAGTTCTCTGTACTTCACAGTGTCACTGAACATCCATGAAGACTCACCACAGAAAAATATTCTTGGTTTTCACAGTGCTCTGAGAACATGGTGGTGAAACAGAAATTTACACTGGGGAACAGTTTTCCTTTTGAAATTCTTAACATTGACATTAAATTAATTGCTTTCATTCTGAGACTGGTTATTAATAATTCTTGTTTTAAATGTCTGATAACAGAACTGTCCTCGATATTATTACTTGTCTTTGACTCATACTGGTATACGGTTCACTGATTGCATCTGAAAAATGGAAACAATTTTTGTTCTGAAAATTTTCTCACAAGTATGAAGATGAACAGCATTATGAATCAAAAGAAAACAATGGTGGGAAGGATCCTTCAGAATCGACTATACAGACTGGTTCCTGTGTTTGCTCATGAAACACTGACTACAAAACTCCATATTCTTTGTAGGACACATGAAAGGATTTAGTTCTGTATTATCTCTAACTATCATGCTATTCTATTTAAATTATGCTTCTTAAGCAGGTGTATTTTGTTCACTTTGATGAAATATGTGTTAAGGGAGGATGTCTTTAAGAACCAACAAGTCTAAACATCTGTATAATTGCTACTCTGTCACTAGACTGAACTCTGCGAAATCATAAAAGTAATATAATTCTGACAAAAGCGTGAGAACTGAATTTACTAGAGTCCAAACTCTTCGTATCAACCAAAGAAAGCGAACTGCCTTGAACTGAATTTCCATTATCTCCAGAGGACTACATTTATCTGAGCAGAACCTATTCATTATGTCAGCATTATCTTCATAATTCTGTTAGGTAAATGGTATTAAACTGAGATCACTCAGCTAACTCCATTTTTGACACAGCCCTGACTCAGAGCTATTCCTCCAGTGGCAATGACAGAGGGCATTTCATCTAATAATCAGTTTTGCAAAATGAGTTTGTATGAGCTTTCTCAAACAACTGATGCCTACTAACAAATTAGCAACAGCAAACTGTGAATTTAATAATCCCATGCACAAGATGGCTTCGCCAGTTCATTGTTTCCATTTTAATACATCTTGCTGATAACAAACCTAATGCCATGCATTAGCCTCAGTCACACTGTTAATGTTTTTCCTCAAGTATTTTTTCTTGCTTGTCAAAA